TCAGAGGTAGTCAATGGACTATGGTTGAACTCAGCCCATTTCTTCATTGCTGCCTTTCCCTTTCTTCCACTCACCAGTAGACCAATGTGGTCGCCAGCAAGCTTACATGCCTGTTCATGTGTTCCCTTTGAGTTTCAGTCTTAGATGGGAGTTTGTCCTGAAGGAACCTAATTGTTTGCCTTGATGGCTTCCTGGTGAACCGCTTGCTTATTCTTTTTTTTTTGTTGTTGTTCTCAAGTAACTGCAAGGTATTTATTAATGGACCCAAGGGAGTTAACTTCATATCCTAGCTTGCACATCTCAAAGTTAAATAATTGCCTTGTTTCCTTCACATAATGCTGAATTTGTGTTTTGGTGTAGTTAAATGAGGTGGTTTTTGGTGTAGTTAAATTGAGGTGGTTCCGACCTTATATAGGGTTTCTGAGGAGCAGCTGTTGAACTTGAATTACCTACCTTATGGTTCAAACAAACTTTATGGGCCAGCACAGTAACCCACAGCATCTCACTAGGACCCTCAGTGTAAATAGCACTGTGGATGTTTTATCAAATCTAGGATTCTACATATCCCAGAAATGGAGAAAAGCTTTCACCTTTGATGATACCATGAAGTTGACAACACAACTCTGTTTAGGTTGATAACTCAGACTTGTTTCATTTGAAAGTTCTCTCTTGCAGTGTTTCTTCTAAAAATAGTGGCATTTAAAACTTTTTCTTTTCAAAACCTGTATTACATGAATAGATGTAATATAAAAATGTGGACTCTAATTGACCCCATTATTTTTATGCAGAAAACGATCAGGACAAAAGGTTAGGACAGTCTCCTCCTATCGTACAAATGTCCAAGCAAAATCCATCTTATTTAAGAAAGTTGGTCTGAATTTACCTTTGTTAAACTCTAAAAACAAGGAAAACAAAAACTCTAACGATTTGAGGCTATCAGAGCATTGCATCACCCCAATAAAACTGTAGGTTTTAGCACATGCACTAAAGTGTACAGAAAGAGTTAATTTCAATGCTCCTTTTAAAGAATTTATTTTATACCTATTATACCACACAGTATGCCATTTTTAAACACTGACTTGTAACTTCCTGGTAAGATTCTTAAAGCAAAAACAAAAGCATTTACCTCATTAGAAACAAGATTCACTATTCACTTATTGTCTTCAAATATTATTGCACTTTTACTTTCATAATTGGACAATGCATTCATGACACAATCTGCAGACAACTACTATTTTAACAGACAAGGAACACTTTTAAGTAGACATGTCTGTCCTAAACTGTTTATTAGGCATGAATTTTACAAACATTACTTATATTAATGGTAACGGTCGAGCTGGAGAGTGTTGCGTCTTCTCCAAGCAGCTCGTCGAGAACCACCAATAGTGTGGGGGAACTTGTGGCCCTTTTCCAGGTTACCACTCTTGTGGCCTGCAGATGTCAAACCATGCATCGCCCTGTGATTGTGAACTGGCTTTCTTCTGATAGCTTTATGGAATGGATTAATGAAGATAACATCAAAATTTGTATGTGGAATCTTCACCAACCCAGTAAGAATTCAGGACTCTTAGGGGCCCCACAGTGGCGTCCAGCTCACTCCTCAGCCACAGACTGAAGGCTTCTAGCAAACTTCAGATGGTTAACACCATGATGGACAGGCTTGCCATAGGTTGCACCTTTATGCACTGGGTGTTTGCGGCCACCTCTGCGCACACAAATCTGATAGATGACAGTAACCTTGCTTGGCCTTGTATCCCAGCCTATGCGCCTTATCTGGCTGGGTGGGATGGGGGACCCTGTGCAGCGCAGAGAACTGGCGGTACTGCCAACAGCGGACCCGCAGAAGAAATCGCATCACATCGGACTGCTTCTTCCTCCAGAGGTCCGGGATGTACTTGTAAGCACCCATCTCGGCTTACCCTGATGGCTGCCGCCAGACGGAAAAGCTTGCTTATTCTTGTACTAGCCAGTCATGCTGGCATTTTTGTTTTGGGTTTTTCCTGATGATCTTTCTTTGAAGATGTATCTTCGGTTGCTCTGGCTGGTCCAGGCTGGTCTGCTTGTCCTTGCAAGTGGGGATGTCCCACGTCATAAGGTTCTGCAAGGGACTCAGAATTCCACCTAAGGTCCTATACTCTGCAAAGGCTTTGCATGAGGCCTATTTCACTGAGCAAGTTCTAGAACCCCTTTTAGGTATTCCAATCAGTTATAGGCTGAAGGTGGGCTTACAAGTTTTCTCTATTCATGTTTCCCAACATTCCTTTCTATCCCACTCAAGTGTCTATTTTACAGTAGTAAGGAAGGGAAACCAATATTAATAAGACACTCAAGCATTTTAGTATTATTTCCCCTTTTCAAACTATGCAGATCCCTGTATCACAGAGCCCTGTTATTCCAAGGTTGAGCATGCATCACTATTTACCTCTGTCCCACTTAGGCCATGCAAACCTGTCTCAGTATTCCACTATCTATCATGTTGTTCCGCCTCCTCCCCCTTCTTGTATTGCCCTCCCCAACACCC